GACCTGATTGCGCCTAGAACAGAGATAGAATTCTTCTGTCAACTCTGTAGTTAATTAAAGGACGTGTATACTGGTATATTGTTTGCTTTTACAAGTAGTTCAATTAATTTTAAAATTGTCTAGTATAGGCAGTTAGTTGTGTCATTCTTCATCTCAAGAATGGGCAGCATTAGACATAAGTATATGATTAGCATGTCTGTCCGTTTTTATGAAAAGTGGTCGGTTTTAAGCCATAAGAGCTAGGGACACCAAACTTGGTACATAGCATTGAATTATCTATACGCAAAATAAGCTTATTACTAACCATATATAGACGAATTATTTCATATATCACTTTAGTAGGTAGGTGGGTTAAGGGTTTTGAAAAGGCGAGCTGGAAGGACTTTAATGTTCTACTAAAAAGAAGCAGCTCTTAGACATCGGTATTTGAATATATGTTAACAAATAAAAATGGCTTTCTTGACAGCAGGTATTGCCATTAACAATTGATATTTATTGTGAATCAAGCACAAAAGTTATTTAATTTAATGCCAAGCACAATAAAAATAGTATTTAACTATAAATTTTAAACTTCCCTAAGCTCTTTAAGTTTATTACAAGATCTAGTTCAGGAAAACAAAGTAATAGCACAACTGTGTCAGTGGACGGACTGCTTCGGATCCTAGGCGTTGGAGCCAAACGCTGGCACAGTCAGTGCTATAATTAGTCTACTCCGGAGTGGGTACAGCTTTTATTTATAAATATATGGTTGCGCCCACCTTCGAGTATGTGTGTGAATATATAGTAAATGCCCATTATTCGAGAGTTCTTTCATGCTCTACCCGTGCGTATGATTGACATGCATTTGTATTAAATTATTAATTAGGTAATGCGAAACAAATCAGTTGCAATTTGCATATGCAATGAGTCCAACACGCACACACAAAAGCCAGGGATAATTGCGCTCCAACTGGTGCTGGCGCTGGCACTGGCACTGGCACTTCCACTCGAACTCGCACCCGTTCTCGAGTTCAGGCCAATCATTGTCAATCCAATGAAAATTGCACAAATTTGCATAAATCACACTTAACATTTATATAAAATTCAACAAAGGACAGTACAGCGCTTGCAAACATGAACTCTGAAAATGTGAATCGATTAGAAATCAGATCATCAGTCATTTTCGCTCACGTCTCAACTACAATTCCACACATGCTTCGGTCACATGAAAATGTGAATGCATTACTTGTAGATTTAATTTAATGATAATAAAAGCTAACCAGACTTAATTGTTCAAAATATTCAAAGCTATTTTTTACCAAGACTTTGTCTCTTCAATTTAAATATATGCACTCCATTATTCAAAGTACTAAAAACAAACAATAACAGCAGCCATCAGCAGCATCATCTTGTTATCTTAACACCTTTTAAACAAACAGTTCAAATGGCACAAAAAACCAGCTCTTTGATAATTAATGCTGTTTTATGCATTCATTTATTCGTTCGTTTATTTGCAAGCTTGTATATTAATTAAACTTTATTGTCTGCAACAACAAAAAAGTGCATAGTCCTCGACAAATAAAACTCATGAATTTGATTCCTTTTTAATATACCCATGCATGCGTTGAAATGGAAATTTTTTGTATTAAATGTACGAGTATGTATTAAAAAAGCAACTAATTTGCATTTAAATTAACGAACGCATCATTTTACAAACATATCTATTCAATAGTTATTGAATTCAAATTTATTTGTATTTTTATTTATGCTTTTAATAACACGTCAAGATTTGAATGCATATGCTCTCATAATTTTGTACATTATTTGTTTGCATCGAAAGCGGCAATGACCTCTCAATACGTTAATTAAATTGTAATAAAATGGAAAATTATAGCCAGCAAAAAAAACGAATTTAATAAAAAAGCACCACCATTTTTTTATTTTCAATATAAAGGCCAGGATGTTAGAATCGCACGAACACGATCTCTACGCAATTCTTCCCCGCCCATAACTTCTTCTAATCGTGATTTCTTTTCAAGGCTTCATGAGCTTTCACTTATGTGTGGCTGGTTATTCGATAGATGTCTGATGTAAATGTTATAGCTCACTGATTTCATAAGACTTGAGAATATAACAAGACTAAACGCCAACTAACCATACCAATAAAAATATTATCAACAAGCCGACATGTCTTGTTTGCTTTCTCTAACTATGGTTCAAAAGTTATCGATGTTCACACAGACGTACAAACGGACGTATTTGTCAATTCGTTGGACATGCTGATCATATACTATATACCAATTAAATGGGGTCTACCACGCCTTCCTCTGCCTGTTGTGGGTACCGAGATTGTGAAGCCTCAGCTGCGGACGTTTATTCATTAGAGCTTCATACCTAGACCCCTTGGCTATCCACCCTTTTTGTATAGTGTGTAGTATTTTAACGTGTGTATGTCAACTATTTCAACCTGAATTTATTCTGTTAACCAACAGAACGTCAACAAACAACCGTCTAAATGGTATACACCATAATTGGTCAAAATTGTTCTAATGGCATAGCTGCGAAAGACAAACTTATAATAAAAGTGCAAAAGAATGGCAAGTATTGCAGTGTAATTAAATACGTTTAAGAACATTACACTAGTTCACTTGAGCCTGAGTAATGTCCCAATGATGTGAACATGTTGTGGAAAAGTTTCCATTGGCTAAATAATATTATGTTGTACATACGTGTGTTCGGAGTTTTAATACACACTCTTCTGGATACGGATAAACAAAAATAAAACGTTGTGGAAAGGCTTTCAAATTAAACGCCTCAGGAAAGTCTTTAGCAGGGTTCAGGATTCAGAATATTGGGTAAAAAAGGGGATATTTTATAAAAAGTTTAATTTTGAGTCAATACTTAAACAGATGGCTGATATAGGTATATTTATTTAACGATATGTATATTATAAGTAGTATATTTATAAAACAAAAAGAAATATGTAAGTCAAAACTTTGCATAAGTATTATACAAGGTCGATTCATTTTAATACTGAAAGCTGAAATTGAAGTGGTCGGCAAGCTCAAATTATTTTGCAGCACAGTCTACCCACTGCTGGTAGTTTTTTTTTTTTATATAAAGCCCCAACAAATTACAAGTATATTTCGTTGTCATAAACGATATAATATAAGCCTTGTGATATTGGACACTTGTTGTCTGACAGAGGATATACGAAAATAATATATGAATGTGACAAACAATCCTTTCTCAGTTTTTTTTAAAAGGCTTTCGAAATTGTTAAAAAGCTCGTTACGAGAAACGGGGCTTGGCAGGACCATTAAAGCTGCCTAGCAAAGCGATGACGATGGCGCTGACGCTGACGCTCTTCGGCACATACAACGCCCACAAAACGCGCACAAAGCTCACACACAAAATCCAGCAAATGTTTACATAATTTGGACCGCAACGCAGCTCGGTAGCTACCGAGCCTGAGGTGTGATGTTTGAACTGCACTCGACGCCCGGCGTTGCTTTACTTTCCTATGCGATACTTTGCTTTGCTGTGCTGTGCTGTGCTTTCCTTTCCGTTTTACGGCCACTGTTTTTGCTTCACTTGGTTCAGCCATAAAGCACAGACGCGTCGCAAAAGCAGAAACAGAAGCAGAAGCCGAAGCAGAAGGAGGCGTCTGCGACGTGGGCGAGTTGTAGACGCACTGCAGCATCAACACCAGCACTTGGCGCAAAGTATATGAGGCACAAAGCAGCGATGCCGCTGACGACAACGGGACACACACGCACACACAAACACTGACACTCTCACACACTCACACATCTGACGGCGTTGGTGTTATTAACATTTCTGTTGACATCCTTTGGGTTTGCTTTTTTAGAGGATTTCTTTTTTTTTTTTTTGCACTTAGCCGTGCCATGTGTGTGTCTGTTTGTGCAACTCAATCTTTTATACGAAACATTTTCATTTTATTCCATTTTTCCCCTTTTTGCATATATTGCTGTGTCATTTTTAAAGACCTGCTCTAAATTCACATCAAGCTGCTGTGCTTACGATGGAGCGCAGCCTATAATGAAAGAATCATGACATTTCATATTTTGGCAAATTACATTATTTGAGCTTTACTCTATAATCCACTCTCATTCCGCCCCTTAATGTATTACGGGCACATTAATGACATCCATTAATAATATCCCATTCGAAACAAAATGATTTCAATTCAGATTAGTCACGACCAGAACAATTCCAACGTACAAAATGAAAGATGCCGCATGCCAAAAATAAATAAATATGAGGCATTAAATAAATAATAATAGCACGAAGGAGCATTCTCAATAGGACCTTGAAACCGATAGATCATCATATCAAGGGGGAACGAGCCGCGAAGTAAAGCTTAATGTTAATCAAATTAAAAATCCTTTATATTTTAAATAAATAGAGATACCTGCAGGTCTTCAGAAGTCTGCTGTGATATTGAATATAAATATGTGCAGAATAAATGTATTTATTTAGTCAAAAATTCCAAGTCTGTTTACAATATCGTGATAAACAAAAAGTGGTTCGTACCAACATTTTTCATGGCAACTAATGCACTGATATTGATAAGAAATTGTTATATAATTGCTCATAACAGAAGCAAGTAGAAGAAGAAGAAGAGAGAACGTTCTACTTGTTCTTTCATTACTCTACATTTTTTAATTGTCATACAATTTTAATCAAATAATCTAAGCCGAAATACTACATAATAAAAAAAATCATTATTGTGGTATTTTGACAAAAAATATAGTATTTAATAGGCGATATACGCATCAGAGCTCATTAAAAAGCTATTAAATCGCCTATAAAAAAAAGGACAAGTAGATAATTGCAACTGGGTATATATATTATCCGGTTGAAATTGGTTAATATATGGGATGTACTAATGATATGACATTTTCTTAAGCACGCCAGTAATCGGTGAAACAAACAGAAGAATGCTACATAAACGGCAGAATATTGGTTCAGGTCTTACAATATTTGTGTGTTTTGTTATGCCGGGGATTTGGGCACAGGTGAGCATCCTTACAGACATAACCACTATGGGTAAAATCAACCAAGGATATAATAAATGTTTATATATAGCTACTACCAAATCGTGGCTATGACATACGTATCCATATATTTGATTTCCGTGTTGATGATTCGGAGATAATATTGTCCAATGCCTTCAAACTGGAACAGGAATTGGATCGCAGTTACGTATCGGGTTATTTGATGTTTAGTCAGCAGTTAGAGCCCATAAATATGGTCGCCGTTCTCAATGTTACACGATCACATATGCCGAGCTTACGCATGTTTAATACGCAGATCGATGCTTGTCGCATGTTGAATAATGGCTATAAAAACAAATTTGTTAAACAAATTTACAACACGTTCTTCACCTTTGTCAATACACGACCGAAATGTCCACTTAAGGCGGTAAGTAATGCATACTAGTGTCTCAAAAATTGTCTTTCTCACTATATATCTCTTTGTAGAATTTCAATTATACACTTACACGTGCCTATGTGGACGAAAAGTTATTCCCAGACTTTTTGCCCGACTGTAACATCAGCATCTCTTTGCAGTTCGAGCACAAGTCAAAGTCTCTGGCGCTTTTGAATATTTCGGGTCGACTCCGAAGCCTTGGCAAATCGGGCAAGGAGGTCCACAAGTCGTAATACAATTGCTTGTTATTGAAGTCGTTATTGTTGTCAATTATTACAATTGTATTATAACTATTGTACTTTTCAATAAATATGCATTGTGGGTGTTATATCAACTAGTTCAAACGTTTCAACCAGTTTTTTGCAGTAATATAAATTGTCAAACAAAATGCAGATGGTTTGTAGGCTTCCAAATTATTTAGTTTCAAAAACGTAGCTATATTGGCAATCATCGTTTCCATAGCAGAAATTTAATGCATATATGGAAAAGCTTTTTTCTATATTTTATTTGAGTGGCTATAGCGAGGAAAAGTATGGGTACAGACTGGACGCTCACGGCACTAACGTTCTAACATACCCCTAATTTTTTTTTTGGCCCATTATTCTTTAATCAATTTGTCAATTTTTACCATATACTCTAAGGCCCAAAATACTATATAATAGATTGTGGTATATTGACAAAAATTATAGTATTTAGGCGGCGTTGTAAACATCAAAGCTCATTTAAAAGCAATTAAAGCGCTTATCAAAAACTAACACGCACATAATTGCAAACATATAGTATTCTGTGTAATTTGTTTAATATATGGATAGTACTAATGATATGTCATTGTTGTAAGCACGCCAGTAAACGGTGAAGCAAACAGAAGAATGCAACATAAACGGCTGGAAATTGGTCCAGGTCTTATAATATTGGTATGTTTTGTTATGCCGACGGTTTGGGCACAGGTGAGCCTCTCTATAGACATTAATGGGTAAAATCAACTTCAAATATTCCAAATAATCATTTATAGGTGCTACCAAATCGCGGCTATGACATACGTATCCATATATTTGATTTCCGTGTTGATGATTCGCAGAAAATATTGTCCAATGGCTTCAAACTGGAACAGGAACTGGATCGCAGTTACCTATCAGGGTATTTGATGTTTAGTCAGCAATTAGAGGCCATAAATATGGTCGCCGTTCTCAATGTCACAAGATCACATATGCCGAGCATACGCATGTTTAATACCCAGATCGATGCTTGCCGCATGATGAATAATGGCTACAAAAACAAATTTGTTAAACAATTTTACAACACCTTCTTATCCTTTCTCAATACACTACCGAAATGTCCAATGAAGGCGGTAAGTCAGTTATACTAAATAGATAGTACTAGATAAAGATTTAGTCAGTATACTAGTTTTTCGAAAATTGTCCTACAAACTCATTCTCATTTGCTGATTCTTATTATATATCTCTTTCTAGAATTTCAATTACACACTAACCCGTGGCTATGTGGACGAAAAGTTATTCCCAGACTTTTTGCCCGACTGTAACATCAGCATCTCTTTGCAGTTCGAGCACAAGTCAAAGCCTTTGGGGCTTCTGAGAATTGCGGGCCGGCTCAGAAGTCTTGCCAAATCGGGAAAGAGGGGCAGCAAGCCGTAATTCAAGTGATTGTCATTATTGTTGTTTAAAATAATTACTGTACTTATCAATAAATATGTATTATGGGCTTTATATCAACTAGTTCATACGATCCACCCAGTTAGTAAAGTACTTGTAGTTAGTGCGATGGATTTCATTTGGGTTATTTTTGGTCTTTTAACCACTTCATATATATTCCTGCCTGAGGCTGCCGAACAGGAACGTAATTATCATATCGTGTTAAATAAAATAATTAGCAAAATTTTGGCACCTCAACTGATTAAGACTTTTGACCACGATATCATGCAATTAAACAATCGGAGTTACGTCAGCGGCCATCTATTACTGAATCGTAATTTGGATGAACTGGAGATATGCGCCACTGTTAAGTTTTTTGGCTGGAAGGCTCAGCAGTCGCTCGAGCTCTTAAACATTTGTTTAGATGGCTGCCAATATTTCAACGCTGTGCACTCAAACCGCATACTTAGAGTTTTCCTGAAGGGATTTCAATGTCATCTTAATCAACCGTTAAAATGTCCTTTAAAAGGGGTAAGTATTCATTATTTAATCACTTAGTTGAGTAAATAGTTATGCTTCTTTTTTACAGCATTTGAATTATACGCTTAGTAATTGGTTTCTAGACGAGATGGACTTTCCCAGTTATTTCCCAGAGGGACGCTTTCAAACAATAAACAAGTTCTTAACTAAAAAGGAAATGATTGTGCTTGTAATGATGTATGGTCATGTGATACATAAGAAATAATAACCCCACAATACTAACTGAGGTTCACATAATGAGCAGAAGCTATTAGGGTTGATTACTTTTTGTGATTTCAAAATTTTTTAAACAATCAAACAAACAACTTTTATAGATTTAGTCACTTGCTCATTAACCATTATTTGTTTAGCAAATCAGTGTAATTGTGAGAGCCCACTCTTAGAGATGGCTTATGTGCTAACCTTTTCATGTATTTTGTATTCGACGCTAGTTTTGGGTGTGCAACTGGAACGTAATTTTCATTTTAGGATAAATGATTTATCAATAAAAAACTTTGCACCCGAGATTATAGAGATATTGGAATCGAAGCTTGTGCAATCACAAAATCGAAGCTACATCAGCGGTCATTTATGGCTCAATCAAAATGTGGATAAGTTCGACTTATGCTCCAGCTTAAAAATATTCCCAGATATTGGTCAAAAGCTAACAGTGTTTGATGTATGCCTAGACGGTTGTCTCTTTTTCAATACAATACATTCCAATCGTATATTTAAAACCTTTATTAAAACTTTAAAACAACACTCAAATCAACCAATTAAATGTCCAATTAAAGCGGTAAGCTAAGAGTATAAATATTATAAAAGCTAATATGAGCATATATAGTATTGTTCCCTTTTCTAGCAACTAAACTACACACTCAGCAATTGGTTTATCAATGAGCAGGACTATCCTAAATATGTACCATCTGGACGGTTTCAAACAGTCCAGAAAATCTCGAGTCAAAATAAGTTTGTTGTGGAAATTGTGATGCGTGGTCGTGTCATTAAAAATATCTGATATAAATATTTTACTAAGAAATATTCATATATAAATTAAAGCAATAATAATGTCCTAAACGCTTTTCCCTTGACAAAAGATGTTTTAAACGAAGTTTCTTCACAAATTTTTCAGCTCTATATCTTAAGAAGTTGGGTTTTGCATTGCGGTGCTATTCAAGACCTAGTACAGCCTAATAAGCTAGTACAAGCTAACAAGATTTGGCTTATTAACCCTTGATGCAAGAAAAATGGAAATAAATACAGTATCATACAAATTTAATTTCCATAGCTGGTTGTGGGCTGATAAGAAAATTGACTCAATTATTTAAGGCATGCGGATAAAATGTTCCACAATTATTTATTTGAATATTCAATATTTTTAGTTCATAGTTATAATTATTTAAGGCAAGCGGATAAAATGTTCCACAATTATTTATTTGAATATTCAATAATTTCAGTTCATAGTTATAAAAAACATCATTAAAGTAATGCACATTTTCCACAGACTGTCAGTATGAGTCGTTGAACGCAACACCTATGATGGATAATAGTTGGCTTTATCCTTTCGTTTTTGTAAATCTGACATTAGTACTGACCGCGCAACAGGACCGAAATTTTACGTTACATACTATGAATTGTCTATTAAAATGTTTACAGCCGAGCTGGTACTGAAATTAGAGAAGAATTTGGTGCAATTGAACAATCGGAGCTATGTCAGTGGCTATCTGATTTTAAGTAGAAATGCCGAGCAATTTCAGTTATGCATTAACATAAAATTGATCAGGAATAATGGTCACGAAATGCAGATGGTTGACATGTGCATAGATGGCTGTAAATTTTTCACTGTGGTCCATTCAAATCGCCTATTCAACTCTTTCTTGAAAGGTTTCAAAGCTCACGTTAATCAACCCATGAAATGTCATTTGAAAGGGGTGATAGTACATTCTAAAACAAGAATTACTATTTTTCGTATATACTTGTACATGTATGTACATATATTGTTCTAAATACTGCAATTGTGTGCAATCAGTCAACACAGCAATCCATCAGTAAATGGTGTAATTCTAGTGAGCAAATAAACACAGCATTTATATCGTTTTAAATTACTCGAAATTATAAATGACTGTTAGGTAGCTGTCACAAGCAAATCACTTTAAAACTGAGTTTTGTGATGTATCGGTTTTGTTATAACTTTTTCCGCTTCGAAATTATTGAGTCTGAAAATTGGGGAGAAATTGTAATTGTACGGAAAAAGTAGCGCCTGCGTTTTAAAAATGTAATATAAGAAAGTTGTAGGTTCTCGCCTAATCAATTTTCTAAACCAGTTTCGAGTTAAATTTCTAGTCAATCATAACGCCGCTAAAGAATTTCACTTTATATTGTTCCTATTAAGTCCGCTGTATTATTATTAGGAAGTGTGTAACAAGGACAAATGTGTATCGTTATAGTATTATTTAAATAAGTTCTAAATTAATTCTATAAATTAATTTTCCTTTGCATTTACCCAAATTAAATCTTCTTGTTATATTATGTGCACTACTTTTTTAAATTTGTTGATTCTATTTAATGAGTCTTTAATGCCTGAAAGATTAGTAAATGTAAAAAACCGTAAGAAGGTAAGGGTTAAACATTTAAAAAATGTTGAGAAATAGGGTCTTTAGTTATGCTTATACACATTTTAAAACATAAACACTAGGGAGCATTTCCAATGATTCCATTAACTCTTTCCTCTATATTCTGGTTGAACTAATCACTTAATGTATTTTAACTGGTATGGGCAAATAGAATAACAATCAGTCACAATAGTCACAGTCAATTAGACGCATAATTGATATTATTTCTGAATATTACGAGTATGTAATGTAATATTAACGAGCATGGAACATCAAACGGATATTTACAAATAGGTATAGAATAGTTTAGAAAGAAGCTCAGACATGTGCATTGTCAAACCCTTTCATTTGTTATTGGTATTGGCATACGTTTTCATAAGTGAGAGTAGGGTGAGTAAATATATCAAGTGGAAAAAATTGTTAATTAAACAAATTTTTTTACCAAAATCCAATAAGTTAACTAAATCATAAAAAAAATAAAAAATTACAAACGGAAACTACCTTAAAATCGAAATAAGCAGTTTATAATATTTTATACAGAATATTTTACCACTCCCCTTATAATTTTCATCATCTTTCGGAATTTAGAATCATTATAAATATCGTTTAAAAGCATATTTTAATTCTCTGAATGTATATTTGAATTCCTTCTCAGTTCGATGCCTTTTTCACCAAGTTGGAATGCAAGAATCACTTGCCGAACATTCTCTACAATATTAGTTGCTTGGTAAATCAATCGGTGAAGGGTACGCCCTCTCTAAATGCGGAATTCATTCTGCGTGAAGACATACACAATCTGAGCAGTAGTTTCTTCTTTGAAGTGCAACGCGGCAAGGTGCTGCGGAACTATACGGAAATGCAGATAGACTTCTGTGCAGCATTAGGAATGTTGCACAATAATATTCTGTTTAAGCTGATTTGGGATGAGATGCGTCGATCTAGCAATTTACCAGTAAAATGTCCACTTCGAAAGGTATGTTGTGTTAATACTTGCCGTGGAAAACCTCCAATTAAATCTTTAAATGCTACATAGGACACACTCTATTATCTGAAGGAGTACACTATCGATCCGACGTACATACCCATATACACACCGGATTTAAACTTTACTGCGGATACCACATTCTATGTGAATAAAAGGAAATTGTTGCGCTGGATCAATTATGGCCAAGTTGTGCGCAAACGTGGACGTAATAAGCCCTAAAACTGTAACTGTTCAAATTAAAATTTAACTCTAGCTCAAGCAATAACTGCGAAAAAGAAAACAAATCCCAACACTATTTGAAGAGAGTACTCTATAAATATTACATGGGCTTAACAGATTTTTAATCTGTCTGCGGCTTCAAGTGTTTTGGTAACGGAGATCTCTGATAGTGAAAGGAATGGAAGCAATCGGGGGTAGAACGCAAGATATTTCTCTATCGTTATCATGTCTCATTTAAACCAATAGTAGCTGTAGATAACCGACTCTGAAAAGCTTTAGCGAGAGCTCCCCTGAAAACACCTATAATTACATTTAAATATAAACTTTTTTAGTAAACTCGTTTCCAGCTTAGCAATTAAAAACATATCAATTTTTTAGCTGCATAACGTAAGAGGTTTTTTATTTATTTCGGATTTAAAAAACAGATATAAAATTTATTACATTTAATTTAGCGTTAAGTTGGGCTATATGTGAACCACTTTTCTGAAACAATCCGAATATCGAAGCCTCTCATTCCTGACTCTTACAGACGCTGTACTTAGCTTGAACATTGTACAAGTATATATATTATTTGTAAATTCCTAAATTCCTAACTAAGTACATACTGACGGACGAATGGACGGATATGTCCAAAGAGCAGGTCCCTGAGGCCTTCCTTGCTTATTGGAAAAACTGAATGATTTCATAATACCTGAAAATGTATCGGGTTCAGAGTATACAAATAATTAGAAACTCGTTAACATAGTTTTGACAATTCATGAAATCTGGTTTGGAAAATGTATTAAAATCAATCAGCAGCACATTTTTTCTATACAGTCCAGTCAATATAGTACAACCTATTTATTAACAGTTTAGAAATGATATTCTGGAAAGTGATATATTTGCTCCTAGTATTTGAGGGATTGTTAGTGAATGCGGCTAAGGTACGTAAAATAAAACTAAGCTATATAAAACTATATAAAGCCCTAATATGTTCGGATTTATAAAATAGTTCTTCCATTGTTTCTTTTCTTACTTCTTCTTTTAAATTCTTAGCTTGATGCCTACTTCACTAAGCTGGAATGTGTCAACCACTATCCTAAAGTAGTTGCTGACCTGAACTGCCATTTGAACCAAACATTTGAAGGCAGATCATCGGCCAATGGAGAGTTTCGCTTAACAAGAGATATTTACAATGTAACCGTCAAATTCATTTTTACTCTGCAGCGGGGAAAATCGATACTGAATCATACGAACGTAATGATAGATACTTGTAGCGCATTGGGAGCACTGCATACGAGTAACAATATCGTTCTTAAAATTATAGCCGATGAGGTGCGTAAAGCCAGTAATTTTCCTCTGCAATGTCCGTTTAAAAAGGTAATGTTTGAACTGTTCGAGTTTCAAAACTAGTGCAATAATGATTGCTTCGATACAGAATACCCTTTACTATTTGAGGGATTACACTATTGATCCCAATGCTTTGCCAAGCTACACGCCGGACTTGGCATTTATCGTAGACAGCACTTTCTACACGAATAAACGTAAGATGCTAAATTGGATCAACTGGGGTAACATTCGGCGTAAACCTTAATTTTAAATTGCCTATTCTTGCATTTGTGATTTGACAAATACATATCATATTTCTCTTATACGAACAATTGTCAATTTAAATGATTTCATTAGAAAAATAGGCGCTTTCTTATTGTCTTAGTATGACCCTTCTTTACGATATGCATGTTGAAATAACTCTATTTCAATTTTCAGTTTTACAATTTGAACCCCTTCAAATAGGAACATTTTCTTTTATATTTGGAAACAAATATGTAACCCCACTTTAAAAAGCTTTCTATTGATGGCTCAAAACATTGGGTGGAGCTCCAAATTAAGTGTTTTGCATTTATGACTGACAAAAATAAATGCTTTTAAAGTAAAAGAACGAGTACCATTTCATTTAAATGGATCTATTATAATAGCATTAGTCACGCGTCATTTTAAAATATTGGTATGTCTATATATTTATTTAGGATTAAGCATTAATAGAGGTTAGAAACTTTTGCAATGGCGGGTCGCTACAAGTTGCTGCTACTCCTTATATTGCGTGGACATTGGATCGCTGAGGGCAAGGTAAGCGATAATCGTAGAACATACAATATAACTTCCATATTTTCAATACAATTTTGTGCCAGATCGCGATTATTCTAACCAGTGTCGAGTGCGAAAACTTTATGCCCAGATTTATGACAAATCTATCGTGTGTTTTGAAATGCAACAAACTGGACCAACCGGTGGTCGACATGGATTTTTTTCTAGCGCGGGACTTTTATAATATCTCAATTGCATTTTCCGTCAAACTCGTGCGCGCTAAATCGGTGATGAACTATTTGACAATTCGATTGGATGCCTGTGCAGCCTTAAGTGCCCTGCACGATCACTTTTTAACTCGCATTATAGCTAACGAAATAAGAGATGCCAGCAACTTCCCACTTAGCTGTCCATTTGAAAAAGTAAGTGTACACATAATTATATCCCTTGAAGTCAGTTCAACTAATACATTTTATAAATTTATCTTCTTTAATAGAACAAACATTATTATATGCGCAATTATAAAGTCAATGGGGATGCGCTTCCAAATTATGTTCCTGAGCTAAGCTTCACGAGTATTGGAGACTTTTATGCAGGTCGACGTAAAACGTTTCGTTTTTTGCTCTCAGGACGTGTGACAAAAGTACACGATTCAACCCGTAAAGGTTAGGAATAAAAATTGTATGCAATATCTTTGTATTTAATAAAAAGTATTTTAACTTGAAAGCTTTCAATTTGTATCCATTGTGTGTTTACTATTTAACTATGTTGCTTTGAAATTGTGAACTGCTTTCATACATTCATACTTAGTTAGCATACCCTTTTAGCTTTAGGGTATAATATTTCTGCGACTGATCATTAAATTTTAAGAGCAATATTTGCGTGTCGACTAAGACCAGGGCTATTTAAAATGCATTAGTTCCGCTCCATTTCAAAAGATTTATTATAGCCCCACAAAATATATTTACTTGCGTCAAAACATTACTGGAGTTCCGAAAGTATATATATGTTGATCACCATGACGTCTGCTGTCCATCTGTCCGTATAAAAGCAAACATAGTATTATAACGATGCTCATTAGTCCGCGAATGAACAAATTTGTGTTTTTTTCTGCTTTGTTTAAGGAGTGGGTACAGGGTTTTTAGGAATTGAGTCCACTCGACTCTAGAATTCCTTTCTGGTTTCTATATATTAGAGCGAGGGATAATGATAAGTGCTTACAAGTTACTAAACACAAAGTTGGGAATGCAATTCAGTTTAATAAGTTTTTGTGAATTCTACATGTAGGATCTAGCCCTCATTGATTGTCTCGCGTAGCTTTAGCACACAACCTGAGACAATAATACGCATCGCTTTTACTTGATTTGTATATATGTCTCCAGTACTCGTGAAGTTCACTTCGGGAGTGTATTTTGGTAATAAATCTGCATTGACCCTGAAGTCGCGCACAAAGTAATGTTTGTTCTATTGAAGTAGATGAAAATGGAAAATGTTAGAATTGGAAATATTATCATCAACATTGCGGCACTGACTTTTTCGAATGGACGGCCGAATGGAATGTTGCTGGATTGCCGCAATCCATAAGCTACAATTCGTGATGCAATGTGATTGAGCGGTGCATTTAGGCCTGCATCGAAATCCATATGTATGTTCATATAATTCATCGTCAATTTTTCTCGCCTGACCTTGACAGAAAAGGAAGCTGAGACGTTATACGTATCTTTTGCCAGCAAGAAATTCATATGGACGCCCTGTTGGTCGAGATGGTTGGATTTCACCACGCACGTTAGATTGGTAATAAGGCTGGGCATAAAGTTTTTACACTCAATTTTAGATAGAACCATTTCGATCTTGTAAAAAAGTCATTAATAAAGGTAAAAGTTATTAAATATACAAGTATTTCCTTCAAGTATGGCCTTACCTTACTCTCTGCGATCCAATGTGCTGGCAATACAAGTATTACCAGCAGAAGCTTGTAAAGACCAAACATTGTCAAGTTTCTGAGCTCCACTAAAGTTTTTTTAAAACTTCATACAAGCCTGCCAATAATTTAATTGAAACTTTGGACACAATTTTGAGCTGATTTCAGATCAGAAAGATTCATTTTAAAGCCCTAATTTATTTTTGATGTACTTCTATTAAAATTTCATTAGTGCCGCTCCATTTCAAAAGATTTATTAATACAATACCAAAAGCTTTAGTGCAGCTCAAAAACTTCACAATGGTGGGTCTCTACAAGTTTCTGCTGGTAATCCTTGTATTACCTGCACATTGGATCGCAGAGAGTAAGGTAAGGACATACTTGAAGAATATATACAAGTATTAGATAAATATTGCACATTTTCAATGGCAATTTCTTAGAAGATGGGATTGGTGCTAACTAAAATTGAGAGTAAAAATTACATGCCCAGCCTTATCACCAATCTAAGATGCGTTTTGAAATCCAACCAACTCGGCCAATCAGCGATCGATATGGACTTCTTGCTAGCAAGTGACGTGTATAATGTCTCAGTATCCTTCTCTGTCAAGGTCATGCGGGAAAAATTGACGATGAATTATACGAAAATACGTATGGATTTTGGTGCAGGCTTAGGTGCACTACAGAATCACTTTGCAACGCGTATTATAGCTAATGAATTGAGGCGATCCAGCAACATTCCATTCGGCTATCCTTTTGAAAAAGTCAGTGTTAAAATCATCATATGAATATTACCAATTTTCATTTTTTCCATTTTGATCTACTCTAATAGAACAAACCATACTATTTGCGCGACTTCAGGGTTAATGCAGATTTATTACCAAAATACAGTCCCGAATTGAACTTCACGAGTACTGCAGACTTCTATACGAGTTCAAATCAAGGAAAAGCGATGCGTGTTATTGTCTCAGGTGGTGTGGTAAAGCTAGTGGGCTAAATCTTGACTGTAAAATGATCAAGAATGATTTTTAAACAAGTTCTGTGACTACTTTATTAAACTAAATTGCATTCCCAACTCTGTTTTAAAATCGATGTACTTTTAATGGTTTGTATACTTATTTTACGCTCTAGAAAATTCATCAGCAATGGGGCTCGAACGCTTTTATTTTACATTTTGTATTGTTTTTGTAATCATTAGAGATTTTTCGCGATGTATTTCCAAGTACATAAACGAGTTCGCACTGACTAAAAGACTGACTGTGGCTGGCCACCCAAAACTATAAGAAAAAGGAAGTTTAAATTGAAACACAAGATTTCATTTAAAAGTGGTTTTTGAATTTCAAACTTCTTATAAAGGGGACTTAAAGATTTTATAAACAATAATAGAATTTCGGGCCCACCTCCTATTTACCGGCACCTACGATAAAACTTGCCATGCAATTTGAAAAAATAAAAATTGGTTTTGGATGTAGGGTATAAAAATAAACAAATCAGGGAAAAATGAGCTTGTGGCCGATAATTATTTTGATTTTGCAACTTTTGGATTTTTTCAATTTTATGTTAAAAATATGTACCTGCATCTATTAAAATGGCATTAGTCCCACTCCAATTGAAGCAAGAGAGAACGCTACAGTCGAGCAAGCCCGACAGTGAAATACCCTGTACCCAGGTAAACATCAGTGTCGATGTATATGCGCCTCTAGCAGAAGCAAAATGAAGAAGAAAAGCGAACTTGATGCTGCAGCTTGTGGGCGTAGTAATAACTTTTCGTAGAATTAACCGATTTAGATGAAATTTGAAACAAAATTAGATTATTATATAGGACGGACATGTCTAGATCGATTTCTCTCGTCATGCTGATTCAGAATATCTATGCTTTATGGGGTCGGAGATGCTTCCTTCTGCATGTTACATACTTTTCACAAACCTAATATACCCTTTTTACCCTACGGGTACAGCGTATAAAAAGTTATAAATACTAAGTATGATAAATATATTAAGTTAGTTGGAAACAATACTGCAGCCCAGATATATCGCAATGGTGGGTGCCCACAAGCTGCTGCTACTACTCCTTATATTTCCTGCACATTGGATGGCTGGGGGTAAAGTAAGGCGCTTCTTCAAACACCACATATGTATATATGTATGTATAATTAATTTTATTATTTCTTAACAGCTCGAGATATTTCTTACCAAAGTAAAATGCGAGATCCTTATGCCCAGCTTTATTAACAATTTAACGTGCGTTTTGAGACCCAACAAACTCGACCCACCGGGGCTTGATATGGATTTCGTTCTAGCGAGAGACATGCATAATATCTCAGCATCCCTCTCTATCGAAATTCTGCGGGGCAAATCGGTAATGAACTATAAAATTCGTTTGGATTTCTGTACAGGCCTAACTGCACTGCACAACCACTATATAGCGCGGATTATAGATAGAGAATTGAGGGAATACGGCAACATTCCATTCAGCTGTCCATTCGAAAAAGTCAGTGTACAAATGTTCAAGTTAATATTCCTAATTTTCAAACTCTCAATTTTTATCTACTTTTATAGAACAAACACTACTATACGCGCGATTTTAGGGTCAATGGAGATTCATTTCCAAAATACATTCCCGAATTAAACTTTACGAGCACTGGACACTTCTATACAAATGAACGAAAAGTGATTACAATGATTCACTCGGGTCGTGTGGTAAAGGTCCGCGCGACAACCCATAAGAGTTAGACAGCGAATCTAAAATGTCCAAAAGTATTCACTAGTTCCCTCGGATATATGAAAATGGACTTCTGAACCAAATAAGGCCTCAAAGAATAAATAATCTAAAATTTGAATTACATATGTTACTGTGAAACACAATGTCAAAGAGGATAAACAATTAATGTTATCTATATATATATATGTATATAAAAAGTTTAATTTTGGGAGGTTACTTTTTTTGTGAAAACTTTATGTCATTCGGCAAATACTGCGGTAATTCAAACTCCAATTACTGCGGTTTGCAAATTTTAACGGTTTTTAAATTACTATATTGAAGATGATTTTTCTGTGCCTACCATGAGAAATCAGTTTTAAATCAGCTTTTCAGTTCTGTCTAAACACAAATGTCATTACTAATTGACATATTTAATTGAGCTTTTCGCTAATTTTCTTGTGTATAAATCAGCTTGCTAATGCTTTCGCAGTTTTAACGATTTAAACGCATATAAATAATTGATGTAAGGCTGAGGATTTGTTTGTGCAGAATCGCAAAATTAATATTTTTCGAACCAGTTGTGAAATGAACATTTAAAGTGGTAATCAGTCGACAATCATATAAAGTTTATGTTAAGCCATGACAGTGTCAATGTTTCTACATTTAAGAGCAAATGTTTTTGAGAGGACTTTTCTGTGTTGAGCGCTATATTTCATTTCAGAACCCACTTACCGGAAGTGAAGATGTTGGTAAGAAGCTAAATGCAGCTTTCATGTGGCATCTACGGCTCTTGAAATGTTTATATATTTGATAATGTTATAATTAAATAAAATTTATTCCAAACGAAAAGTTTGCTGTGAGCAATATGATCGAAAGTTAGAAATTCACTTTTTAGGGCAATAGCGCAAACAAAACGTACCTTTATTTGTAAATTTATTGTAATTATTATTTTTTAAGAAATCAGTTTAGTTATTTTATATTTTTCAGTGAAGTTTTTACAACAAAGAAACAAACAAATGCTTGATGTCTGGCGAGATGTGAGGTAAGTAGACTGCACATTTAATAACGCATCCGAAGTGGTGTCATTTTTGTCCCATATCTTAAAATGATTTGCTCCTTTCATGACAGTAAAATCGTTGCAATAGTTAACTGCACAGCCACTCTAAGAGTTTTGCAACTCTTTAGCTAAAAATCTAAGTATTCATGAACATTTGAGTGTGCAATATAAAAGGTGTTTTATTCTTTTACGTTGAGAATTATTATGGAGAGCAAAATTCAAAAGCAACGTTCATTTCAAGTCTTGCCGCATACTGGTAGCGTACGAATATGCATGTGCCGTTTTATTTCATTTTCAGTCAAATGTTAAGCTGTGTTGTAACAAAAAACTTGATTACACATGCGCTAATTTAGTTGCACGCGAAAACATGCGCGTAATCAAAACGGTAGCTGAAGTGCCTGCCAGCCAGCACCCTTAACATCGCCCAATACTCTAGAAGCAAGAGAACAGCAGGAACATCGACTCACACTCACACTAATACTAACAATCAGCACCACTCCCCCAGCCCCACCCCCACCCACACCCTTTCACCTGATGTTGCTGTTTAAATTTGAGTTCATGTTTTGCATGCAACGGCTGTTGGCCCTGTGTGCGCTCACATGGCGCACAACAATTTAATTTATGCAATGGCAGCGCGCAAAAAAGTATGCAATAAATTTTTAATTTAAATCAAGCACAACCCAACAACAACACAACACTGGCAAATTATTAACATATGAATGCAGCTTACCCGCTCAAGTGTTTGCTGCTGCTACTACTCCTTTTTATTTTTAAATTTGGTTTCGTTGGTTGTCCTCCTGTTCCCTGATAGCAGGTGGGCTAGCTTAAGGCTGATGTTGTTGTTGTTGTTGTAGTTTTTGTTGCCTAATTGAGGCCAACGCACAAGCAAAGCGATGAGCAAAGTGCATGGTGCGATATACAATCCACAATGGCCAAACTGTAAGTAATAGAAGTATTCGTATAATAAAACAAATGTAAGCTATTGCATAAAATACAAAAGATTATGCAAGTAATCTTACATAGTACGACTTAAGAGGGCGACTGTAATAATATAAGTATAAGTGGGCACGAAACAGGACTGGCAATTAGTCTAATACACTACAAAAATTCTATAATTGATTATTAAGATATTTTTAGACGATAACAGAAATTTTGCTTCAATGAAGCCTCAGATGTTTGAATATGATTTCGGAAAACTATTAATGTTATCTGTTGTGTCAGATAGTGAATATACTATTAATGTGTATCATATGGACAGTTTAAAAAAAATAAACATTAAAATGAAAACATAAGTTCATTTGCGAAATTCGATCCAAAATTTTGTTAAAAACAAAATTGGCGTATGTTGCTCGATAATGTGCCGTTTCATCGGCCGATATTTGTAAGCGAAGTTTTGAGAAAAATAAACATTCCAGCATCTCCATATTCACCAGATTCACCATGAAAATAAAACGATATAAGGAGATGTTCAAAAACTTGCTAAAATGCTTATTAATCTTGCAAGACTTTGTTGGTGATTTTGATGAATAAAATAAAAGCATTTGGATAATATATATTGGATATATATATATATATACAAGTATATAACATATCCATGTAATTAATTTAAGTCCTCTTTACTTGGGACACACCTTTTAAAAATGCAAACAATAATTTTCCCGGAATTTAAATCACAGACCACCCAAAATATACTGCACCATGAAGAAATTGGACACCACGTCTGTAAAAGTAACGCTACTACATATGTTTATCTATATAACAAACGAATCCATTTCACTGACATTTTCTGAAATTTCTTTTTCCTTATTGTTTACTGCATTATGATCCAAAATGTGACAGGAAAAATATATACATACTGCATTAGACAGTGGCTTTTTAAGGTTTAACTTTTAACTGATTTCAGTTTCTATTAACAAATAGTACTGAAAAGCTTGTTGAACGTTAATGGTTTTTAGTTAAGGTCTTCCACTTAGTTAAGTGCTAACACTCCATTAGCAATTTTTTAGGTACGTGAGATCAGTTCCATTTGCAAGCCATTTGAGAAGACAATCTATAATAGATAGTATGTTTAAATACAAGTTTACATTTTTATTTGGAACATTAGACATAATCAATCAATTGCTTCGAAATAGTGCAGGCAATCTCTCTATTCACACTATTCACTTCCTTTCCCTTCTGTTACTGCGTCTTAGTCCTCTCCTTGTCCACGCGTGCCACAGTGCACAGCTCCTCGAGGGTCTTGTTGGCCTGCTCCATTTCGACCCGCAACTGCGACAAACTGACCTGGATGCGTGCCATACGCATATCGCCCGCCTTCAGCGTCATCTCCTGCTTCTCCGTGAAGTCTGTGGCATCGCCGTGACGTCGTTGGGAGCGCCCGGCATGCGCATGAACCGGAGTCGGGCGACTGGTCACATGAGCCGTCAAATTGGTTGCCAGACGATTGCCTAGTATGTGACCCTGGCCATGAACATGAGCATGGCCATTACCTTCTGCAGTACTCGGCGCGTATAGTCTTCTGTTATTTGTTTCCGGCATATTTATAAGAATTTAATTAACAAAAATTTTGGTTGCCAAATTTACGTAGTCGAGAGTGTAAGGCGTATCGAATTGTTTTCAAATGTATTTTAATTTTCACTTGCGACAACATTTTCATTGCTGCATTGCTACGTTCCTACGACCTGAAAGGATTGTGGGTCGACAGTGAGGGGGGAGATGGGGGTTGGGCCGAGGGGAGGACAAGCTCGTTGGAGCGTTGCGCTGCGCTTTAATTACACTTAACCGCAAATGATGCAGCAACAGCGGCGGCAAAACCGGCGGCTTGCGGTTACCGGCCGCCAACTGAAAAATATAATCAAGTTGAAATGGTATATTGATGTGTGCATGCAAATGTGTGTATGTGAGTGTGAGCGAGAGTGTGTGGAGGAATATGAGATGCCCTGCACACAATGTACGATAACAAGTGGTGAGCACAGTTAAGCGGGCTGCAAACGTAATTATGTGCAATTGCATGAACTTGATATCCATGTGCACTGTAAAAGAATTCACACAATACCGCTCAACGCTGGCTACTCTACCAATTCTATTTCTCCATAAAAGAGCAATTACTGCTATGTTTGAAATCGACACTAATAGAAAAAATTAAGAATTATGTACTCCAAAAAAAACATTTTTTCCATTTTCCAAATCTTCAGTAGAAACTGAAGGTAAAGTTATTTTTCCAGATTCAACTGATATTCAATTTGTTGATTTATTTTTGATCGAAATAAAAGCATTATTCGAAGTATCGTCCATTGTGGCAGGATGCTCGACTATAGTCAGGGAAGCATAACGATATAAAAGTATGAAAAATATGTAAAGCATACGAGCAGACAGGCTGGCTGCCGCATGCCACATGGGACGGCAGACATAACGTAGATGTTGCTGTTGTACGGCTGTTGGGCTCGTTGGGGCACGCAATTAATTAAAAATACATGCAACATGGCCGAACACGCTCTGATCCCCGGCCATCGTACCATCTACCACCAACCGTACTCATACAGAAAATATGCTGCATTAATTTGACCGCAAAGTGAGCGCCGAAGGACCAACCCAAGCCATATCAAGCCATACCAGCCCGAACCAGACCAGTTCAGAGCCACATAGTTTGGGTAACTATGGTAACTGGCAGGCAAGTTGGTCTGAGGGTTTTTTCTTCTTTTTTTTTTCGAAAAACTGCTGCCACGAATATTTTCTCTATCGCTACTAAATGCATTAGCCGGGGGTGTGTGTATTGGTGTATGTGTGTGTGTGCGTGTGTGTGGCCTGTGTTGTTTGCGTGCGTATGTGTATGTGTGTTTGTGCATGTCCTGGTTTGTTTGTAAGTGGTCAACATGTGCGTCGTCCTGGCTGCCTCTGCTGACTGCGTAAACTGCGTTCGTTTTGTAAACAACATCGTAGAAAACAAATAGTTAGGCGAAAAAAGTACAAGGAGCGCCGGCAGGATTTGGAGTTGGAGGATGAGTTGGAGCTATAACAACAGCAGCAGCAACAACTAGCCGCCACAAGGACATCAAATAAAGTTAAACAAACAAGAGCATTAAGTGCATTGCTGTTGTTCTTGCTGTACGAGTTGATTTTATTCTTGTTGCTGTTTTTTTCTCCTTGTCTCCTGTCTCCTGCCTGTTATCTATCTATTCAAGCAATAACAAAAACAACAACAACTTCTTTAGGTGATTGCTGCAAGGCTCTAAGCGCCCTGCTGCTCCTTATTGATTTTCTACTGTAAGCAATATTTTTTCGCATAATTTTTTTCCCTTCTTGCCACTATTTGCGCCTGTCATTATAAGCATGAAGTGTTTTTTGTTGTCCTTTTTGTCTTTTGCCTTGTCTTGCGGACACGTCGCTCGGGTGTCAAATGCCATTAAATGTCAAGTCCAACTAACCAAAGGAGAATGGCGCCCAAACGGCCAGGTAGCTGATTGGCCAACAAAAGTTGCGGTGCAAGCGGAAAAAATATCACTTACCTTTGCCGGCCCACAGACAAGTGGCAAGCTTTGACAATGTTTTGACAACTTGCGGTACGGATGTCCCAGAGTGGAACGTGTGGGCCATGAAGAGAGAAAGATGGATATTGACAATATCACAACTACGGAAAGGAAGCAACTTTAAAGATGCAACTATAAAGTAGTCGCTTTAGTTTACAGAGCCTTATGGTCGGCTCTAGATTATCATATAATTGTATATCAAATTGGGCGATGTGGGCAAATAGAGGTCGAACACATCAACAACACTAATAACCAACAAATAATATATTCGTATGTACCAAAATATTAAGATAATATTACTATATAAAACGCACAATTAATATAATTGCAGTTTGGAAGCAAATCGAAGATGATGAGTACAGATTTTTCTGTCGCCCACTGACATAAATTAAAATTATTTTCTGAAAATAGATCGATTAAAAGTCCATTACCAAACGATTTATAAGTATCACACAAAATGTATATATTTAGTCGAAAAACGTCACATTGGATCGCTGATCGCTAAGGTAAAGGATACTCAGGGAAAAATATGTATAGTACTCGTATTAAATAAATACTACACATATTTAATATCATTTGTTCACTAGATCGAGATAATTTAGGGAATCCACCAACTTTCTAAGCGGCTATCCATTCATAAAGGTGAGGGTTCAAATGTGTATGTTAGTATTTCCTCTTCTTATATTGTCCATATGTATCTTCATTAATAGAACAAACATTACTATATGCGTGATTTTAAGATCAATGGAGATTCATTACCAAAATACGCTCCCGAATTAAATTTCACCAGCATTGTGGACTTATATACAAATCAATGGAAGATGGGTTGTATGATCCTTTCGGGTCGTCTAATAAAATCCACGCGCAAATCCCAGAGGGTTGGATAGTGAATTAAAAATGATTAACAGAATTGAGAGTTGAGAACTTCTTATCCAATTTTGTTCCCTTTTTGAACTACATACTTACATTTACATTCGGTTTTTATTTTTATATTGAAAATATTAGGATAAATCTTGTTTGTCTATTTTCCGTGATAATGAAAAATTTAAATATGTATAAAAATTTCAAAATAAATACAAAAACTTATCGAAAAAAGGAAAAGTATAAACTTAATTAAAACCTAAATCATTGAATTTTTAAATAATAAAGGCATTTTTTTTACAGTCATTGATAGCTGTATTCAATTTTTCAGCCTTTCCTTCATTGCTTCCATATGTAGATTATTGTTCTTAGAATATGTACAATTACTTTTTCTGCTTATCACAATTTTAAAATGATTCAACAAGGAAATTTGGTAACATTTTGCTGACAAAACTTCAATTTTTTGCAAAAGACTTTCGAATATATGAAAAACACATGTTTATGAATGAATTGCTGCTCCAAAATCGTCGATTAACAAATAGAGACACCGCTGATACTGTTGGCAATACAAACAGATCAGTCAAGAACATTTTAAAAGAACTTTTCTGCCCCGTAAAAGTCAAATAGATGTCGATAGAATCAAAATTTTGCACTTTGTCCAAAAATATCAATTTATACAATGAAATCAAAACGAAATTTTGCTCAGAAATACTACTTGTATCAAAATATTATAATTATTATGATCGCATACAATAAACACACAGTTAATATAATTGCAACTTTTGCAAAAATTTGGTTTTAATGTGTGCAGATGTTTGTGTCGTCCACAGAAAAGCGGTACAATTATATTATGGAAATAGATCCATTAGAGCTCTTTAGTTCGGCTACATTTAAAACGATTTTTCAATACTATACCACATAGTACATTTATTTTGACGCTTAGAAACTTTGCAATGGTTGGACTCTACAAGCTGCTGCTGCTATTCCTTTTACTGCCTGCTCATTGGATCGTTGAGAATAAGGTGGCTAAGGTGAGGAAAGAACATATACTTATGTACACATACTTGTATTATAAAAAAGCCACATACGATATATGCAATATATGCAATATTAAATTTTTATCAGCTCGAGATAGTTCTAACTAACATCAAATGCGAAAACTATATGCCCAGCCTTTTTACCAATCTAACGTGCGCTTTGAAATCCAAGAAACTCGACCAACCAGTCGCCGATATGGAGTTCTTCCTAGTGAAAGACATTTATAATATGACGGCATTATTTTCTATCAAGATCCTGCGAGGCAATTTGGTGAATAATATAAACGTACGTGTCGATTATGGTGCAGGAATAAGTGAACTCCAAAATTATTTTGTAAGTCGCATTATATTTAACGATATGATGAAGCACAGCAACTTTCCACTCGGCGTCTCATGGAAAAAGGTCAGAACTGAAATGTGTATTTGGTATTTCAAACTCTAATATTTTCCATTTTGATCTACGGTTATAGAACAAACGCTACTATATCCACGACTTTAAGGGCAATGGAGATGCATTACCAAAATACGTTCCCGAATTAAACTTTACGAGTACTGAAGACTTCAATATAAATCAACGGAAAGGGATAAGTCTTATTATGTCAGGTCGTGTGGCTAAGGTTCTCTAGAGAAAAATGCATGCTTTCTTAAAAAACATAAACGTATCGTTGAATATATGAACACGTATTTAATTAAACTTAGTTGGGAGCACACAATTTTTCAGAACACTTCTTAACCGACTCAGTTCATCAAGGGAATTATTATATTATGAGACGCTATGTATACAAGTAATTTGCATTTTAATTTCTAAAACATTTATAAACATATGATTTAAGAAGAAGAGGAGGAAGTCATAAGGTGAACTTTAAACATTGGGAAGCAATGCTTTTGATAGACACTCTTAATTTGCAATTGAAAATAAATTGGATATATCATACTAGTTAGATACATATACTCCGGCAATAGGATTATTTTTCTCTACATTTAGCACTTAACGCCTTACTTGACTGGTGTGGCAATAAATGATAATGATGATAATAATAATAATATTGCTATCTGCATCTTTGCAAGCACTAATTGAATGCATGCTTTGGTAAACTTTTCTGCATCCGTATCCGCATGCTTGGAGGCAGAGACTTGCAGAGCAATAGCATCCAGA